TCTTATTATCCTATATTGCAGTTCACGCACTGTACCTATTATCATTCCATGCCCAAAACACATAAAGCGTTCATTCAGAATTTGAAACACTTCTTACAGCCTCGGAATATATAAAGTTAATGAACAATTCTTATATCATAGGAACGTTTAAGTACAATAATTTATGAAAAAATATTTATTATTGCTTCCATGTGTATCATGGTCTACTTTCACAACTTTTTAAGTCATGCTTACAGTGTTCTAACCAGATGTTGGAAAATTTTAATATTTTGTTGATCTTTTAATGTGATACTATCACTACTGCCTTTGTATCTCTGGATTTCTCATATTGTGCGCGAAACTTTGAGTTAGATTGCACGATTTACTATATTTATTACTTATAGTACTCTTACAATTTCCTACTTCAGTACCTTTGAGCCACATCATTGCTGCTTTCATGCCATTAATTTAACCCATGGGAAATCTTTAATTTTTTTGTCATTACTCAATCTCTATTTTACTGACTTAGTCGATGCCTGGAGGCTTAATAGACAGATACCCTTTACATCGTGGATAACGATACCAAGAAACTATGCTTGTATACGAAAAACAAGACAGTATTGCCTGAATGTTGATCACAGTCTCCTTTTGCTGCATAGAAGTTGTTCGACCCTATCTCAGCAACTTGGTCATGTTGTCAAGACGATATAGCTTAACGCAAATCTGCTATTGATAATTTTCTTAGTTAGATCGTTGAATTGGTACATTCTCGGACGTTTTGCCTGTTTCGTAATCGGTATCGTCAGTGAGCCTTGCCACTTTTAACAGAAAACTAAAGTTCATCAAAGAAACAGGTGGAATCCATCCCTTGAACACCTTTCTGTCGAACAATTGTTGCATCACTTTTCCTTTTATCATGGTACGTCTACTCACTCTCTATCCTCGTATCTCACCCCCTAGCCATTACATACTTCCACCTTATTTATGCTGAACTATTCCAGAAGTGTGCTCTTTCGGGCAGGTTTAGGGGAGCGTCGTCACATCCTTCGCTGGGTTGCTTTGACACCCTCTTGATTTGCATGAATTACTGCTCTGACTTAGACCTTTCCGTCCGCAAGCCACTTCATTCAATACCTAACGGAATCTCCATCGTGCCCTGGAAGATCTATTTCTTATCTTCATCGGTTGACTGATTTAACTCTGTTCCAGTCTCAGTGTGTATTTTATTCAAGGTGTTACTTTGTATAGACTCCCATATGCGTTTGATATCATCTCTGAGACTGATACCCTAGCTTCCAGATATTGTCCTAGCGCTATGAATCAACGTAATACTGCTTTTCTTTTTATTAGTTCGGTACGTTTTCTAGATTTATCTTATGTTTATATGTCGACTTCAGGGACCATCTCTGCCACTGAACCTGTGTTCTATAAGTCAACTGTGTAACTATATTTCTTGTCCTCGCTGCATCTTTAATGGATCTTTAGTCGAACCGCTGTGTCGTCCTCTTCAAGTTGACTACACTCACCACAAACGTCTTCGTTGGATTTCCAAATGTTTATCCTCTGCTTATTATGTGCTATCCCTTTTCCTTTGGTTCACGATGGATCCTTGTTCCAGATGTCTTTTTTTCCAGATCTTGCCATTTCCCTGTTTGCTTAAGCAATACGCAAAGTTATCACTAGTTTTTATTTTGTTTCCTTGTATTTTTAACAAATGAGTCCGATATTTCTGCTATCCTCAACATGATCTCGTTTTATGGTTGTGCAAAGTGTTCCTTTATTTATGATTTCTCCGTATCTTTTTTTGTGCAGGTTCTGAGGTTATTTGATCCGCGTGAGGATTTTTATTTTCGCTTCGCCAATATTCTTTTCATAGTCACCGCTTGCTATGCAGCAAACTATTGACCAGCCTAATTTGTTCACGTTCTCACGTTGTGTGGGGAAATTTGTGAAGAGTGTTGCCTATTCTTTTCATTCTTATTTTCCTTTCATATTCTCCAGAATGCCACAGGCTTAGGTGGTCTGTATGTTCCATGCTTTCTGTCAGTTTTTCTTTTGCCGAGAAAAGTCTGAGTCAATTTGACCAATTCTTCATCCAAGAATCATATGTTCGTTAATCTTAGGCTTCTGCTGATCATGTAAATCATGATTCTAACCTTCAGTTTGTATGTGGTATTGAGACTGAAAATTAAGGCTTATTGTTGCATGCGACATTTTCTGAATAATTTTTCTCGAGTATTCCGTTTGAGCGAATGAATTCTACATCCGGGAAAGCAAGCCGCCCATCTACCTCCATTTTTATTTTGAACATTCGAATAAGATGCGTTCATCTAGATAGACCCTTTTGATCCAGTTGCGAAAACAGGATCAAGCCGATCAAATCTCTTCAGGGTGTCAATAAGGCATGTATGAAGTTTCAAATTGTAATCGCTTTGGAGAGAAAGCCACTTTGTTCATATGATTTACCTTGTGATTGGCCTTTTCAAATTGCCATGAATAGCCCATTTATTTAACGCTTAGGCCCGAATCTAAATACCCTCTTATATTCTTCCTTTATTTGTCCTTTTTTTGTTTCTACTTATAAATCTCTTTCTAACAGAAAATCTATTCTCAATCGAATGCTTACGTCTGAAACTGCATAATTTCTATATACCTCATAAGGCTTTTGCGTCTTATTAGGGATGTGAAAGATTTCAAAAAATTATATTTTAAGATTGAATATTTGTCACTGGTATATTTCTATTTTAAACAATACGAAACGAATTGATCGCCCGATTTGATCATAGAATTTTGCTATGTACTTTTACATAAGTTTAGAGTTTTGATTCTCGTGAGGGCAATGCATAATTCTGAGTCAGCTGGAGTCTGAATTTCAATTTGGATAATGACAACTTATGAAGCATATGGAGCGATTAAATTACAAGAATTAAGAAATTCTTACTAAAATTGCTCTGGATATAAACATAGTCTAGGCGATTAAGTAGATCGATTGTAAGAAGGGTTACCTACAAATTTTTAGAACAAAAGAAGCTATTCACTTAATTTAACTCAAACATAGGAATGCTATAAAGGTATGTCGTCTTTTTGTGCACATATTCGGCTTTCGCCTCTTCTAACTCCGCTCCCGCAACAATAAGGAAGAGGAGAGTATAGCGGAGCTCTCAAATGATTGAAAACAACAAATCTTTTTAAACACTATGCACAGATTGTTATCAAATTCCCCAACATATTGCTACACCATGTTTACATTAAAATTGGGTGGGATTTTTGTATTTTAAAAGTGAACTTGGAGACCATTAGGTGACGGTCATCGTATTTTGCCGTTTCTTTAACTTCGTATCTTATAAGATTCAGCTTTAAACGGTTATCTCACTAATAATATTATAATTATATACATATATAAATTATATTATCATTGTAATTATTACACTTAAATAACTTTAATTATACTGACAATCATAGCACTATCCATCTTATTTCCCTTCTCGTTAGCCATTTATTATTGAATATCCTTACTTTATCAGGTTGCATCGAATCGGCTGTCGATCCCTCCTCTGACCCTCGGCGTCCCTCTTCCTTGGGCATGTCGCCTGGGGATTCACATCATCCAAATCCCGTGCTTGGCCTCTCACCTTCCATCAACATTCCCTTCGCAAGCCTCAGGCCGTCAGGAGAGTCACTTCTACCAAACGGCGGTGCCTCGACAGAATTTCCCGCTTCAGGAAACGTTATCCCCGGTACCACTTCTGGTCTGACCACCACAACCACTCTGATGGGCACGGACACTAGCTCCGAGGGGAGTTCTTGCAATCTGGTTGACCCTTGTCTGTTGGATAGCTCTTCTGCCACCATCAGTGCTGAAGCAGTCGAATCGGAACCTCGAAGGTCCGCCTCCGGTGGCTTCATCGGTCCCGGAGATCCCGTCTGTTCTGCAACTCTCTTGACCACTGAAGAACAGAACATCGGTGCGAATGCGAATGCACTCCAAGACTCCTCTGATGGC